CATCCATCCATCCATCCATCCATCCATCCATCCAGTGACCCATCATCCATCCTTCATCCATCTTCCATGCATCATCCATCCATCATCTATCCATCCATCATCTATCCATTCATCATAATCCATCCATCATCCATCTATCAGCCATCCATTTACCCACCCACCAACCCATCATTCATCCATCCATCCATCCATCCATCTATTCTGGTGTCTATCTACACAGTGTACACAGGCTTATGTCTTATGTAATGTTCTCATTTTTACTTAATTTTTACTTTATTTTTACTTTATTTTACTTTACTACTATTCGCACCTTATGTCGAAGCAAATTCCTAGTTTGTGAACCTCGTTCATTGACATGGCGATAATAAACTGATTCTGATTCTGGTCTGCAGCAGTCACTATAGGAAAGACAGGGGACATTGGTACAGCTGTCCAGTCCATCCCAGGGACACAGACAATCAGATTGACCACTCACTGTCTCAGTGTAAAGCTCCTAATGAACCTAACACGCATGTTTGTGGTTTGAGGGAGGAAAGAATAATACTGATGGGCAGAGCATGTAGACTCCACACAGAAAGACTGTGAGGAGACAGCTGTAAGCACTGCTCCACCGGGGCTGGGGACAGCACCTGTCAACCCCGTCAAACAGTAGCACAAGTAGGATCATATTTACTCACCAATGTTGGGGTGTTTCAGTAACCGACAGATCCGAGCTTCACGGTCCAGCTTCTGATGATCTGACAACACACACAAACACACAGGTTAGTGACTGAATGCTGATCTGGGTCTGTACTCTGACACAGCAGCAGCAGAGTCCTGCAGCTGAAACTCATCTGATTAAACTGTAGAGTGATGGGCTGCAGAAACACATTGGACATGACACGCAATTGGCTGATTGATGGATGAGCCGCACGATCAGCATAGAGGTTTTTTAATTTAAAATAAAACATTTTAAATTATTTAGCACCTGCTGCACCTTTGTGCAGCTCATATTGCAGGATAAACTACTTGCTGCAGCCGATCAGCTGTTCTCCATGTAGAGCAGAGAAGTGAACAGCAACACTACACCTCACCACTTGCTCTTGACGAGATCGGATGCTTCCCCCCTCCCTCTCTCTGTCTGTCTGTGAAATTGCTGTGAGATTCTCTTGTATATCTTCTGAACCATAATTATGGACTGTTTTGACCAGTTGGTCCCTCAACTCAATTTACAACATTTCTTCAAGAGAAGACAGGCTTTAGGCGAGACGATTTGCCCTGTTGGCACGTACACAGCTGGATATCTCATCGACTGTAAGACTTGATGATGTGTCTATCTCTGCTGCCATCTGTGGATTTTAAGGGCGCATATTTAATTGGATTTTCGATAACTGGTTCCTGCTTTTTGGATTCAGCTGGTGCTGGTTTTATCAATCAATCAATGAAGGAAGTCGTCAGCAGCAAATTTGGACCAGATCCTGCTGATTGCCTTTTGATGACTTGGTTAGTGTCTCATGTATCCGGACTCAAATGCTTTGGGCTGAATGGATCAGATCTTGGGGATTTTACTCAGTCATGTTCCAACGGTGTGGTCGTGTTAATTTGGACATTTCAGAACCGAGTTGACCAACACAGACTCAAGGTTGATGTCATTAAGTTCTGCCTGTCCCCAAAACAACTGTGTGTTTATCTAAATTTTGGTTCCCTTGGCTGGTCTTGAAGGACATCTTATCTAAAGTCGCCTGGAGAAAATGTGATCTGACGCTCACCACCCCCTCCCTGAGGAATTCCCAACTGATAACCAGATGAAACCCCGCTGAATAAACTTTGTGTCATCATTTCAGGACTCTTGGATTCTCATAGAGGTTATCCTTGGCCATTTCTCTACATACCTCGAGAATGTTTATGGATCTCACTGGAGGACATTGACTGATTAGTGACCTCGAGAGCATCTAGAAGCGTTGTTGACCGCTCTCATCTCCGATTGCAGAATGTCTACGTAAATGTGTGCTTGTTTGTGTGAGGTATTTTTTAATATTAGTTTTTTTTTTTCTCAAGCAGGAAAAAAAAAGTTTTTTTTCGCCTCCAACTCCTACATGTGTCCAGTTAACCACTGTTTTTGTCTGTCCAAACAGGTCTCACTTGTAAATGAGTCTTCGAGGCTCAATGTGATTTATCTGTTTAAATACAGGTTGAATGAAAAAGTGGGCGTGGCCAAGAGCACTTGCAGGGAGCTGAAATCATGACATTCTATCTCTTTTACAGCGTTTAGAGTTTAGAAACATTGTTTAGAATATTGCAAGAGTGTGCGAAGGGTTTAAAGTGACGTATATATATATATTCATTCATTCAACCTTTATTTAGACAGGTAATCCCATTGAGCCTCGAGGACTCATTTACAAGAGAGACCTGATTTCAACAAAGAAAGATGACAACAATGGACAACAGCGACAACAATAAACATATATATATATATATATATATATATATATATATATATATATATATAAAGGTCCTTCTCAAAAAATGAGCATATTGTGATAAAGGTCATTATTTTCCATAATGTAATGATAAAAATGAAACTTTCATATATTTCAGATTCATTGCACACCAACTGAAATATTTCAGGTCTTTAATTGTTTTAATACTGATGATTATGGCATACAGCTCATGAAAACCCAAAATGCCTGTCCCAAAAAATGAGCATATCATGAAAAGTTTCTCTAAACAAGCTATTAACCTAACCATCTGAATCAACGACGTAACTCTAAACACCTGCAAAAGATTCCTGAGGCTTTTAAAAACTCCCAGCCTTGTTCATTACTCAAAACCACAATCATGGGTAAGACTGCCGACCTGACTGCTGTCCAGAAGGCCATCATTGACGCCCTCAAGCAAGAGGGTAAGACACAGAAAGAAATTGCTGAAGGAATAGGCTGTTCCCAGAGTGCTGTATCAAGGCACCTCAGTGGGAAGTCTGTGGGAAGGGAAAAGTGTGGCAGAAAACGCTGCACAACGAGAAGAGGTGACCGGACCCTGAGGAGGATTGTGGAGAAGGGCCCATTCCAGACCTTGGGGGACCTGTGGAAGCAGTGGACTGAGTCTGGAGTAGAAACATCCAGAGCCACCGTGCACAGGCGTGTGCAGGAAATGGGCTACAGGTGCCGCATTCCCCAT